ATTTTGAATGTGTTTTTTTGCAGCATCCAAGCAAAGAGCTTATATCCCATCGTCAATAAAGACATATGCCTGTAGTTCTCTGGCAAACTAGCGTCGCCCTTCTGATGTAACAGTGCGATGATTGATGTATGCCACGCATGAGAGATATCTTTTTTCGCCCCAGCGCCTCTGAAAGAAGGTCCACAATTTCTTGCATGCTTCTGGAGAGCGTGCCAATGCTTTCCAAAGATCGGGGGGTACATCGTCTACGCCTGTAGCTGACCCCGTAGCTAAAAAGCCCGCAATCCACCCTGATGCTCCTGCGCGCCAAAAGTGCCGGGGTGAATTGGCAGTGTCTGCCCCGCGTCGTTGTGCCCAATGGGTGAAAGGGTTGCATAAGTAACTTGCCATTTTACTTGTGCGAAATAATCCGCATGAGTGTCAGCCCGCTTGGTGCTCTCCACGAACTGTCCAAATCCACATTGAATTTGAATTGGTCGTTTCGGTATTTTTTTGCAACGCACGCGCTGCTTTCCAATGGCCTCCGGCCAGATGGGTATCCAACCAATCGCGCTTATCTTTCTGCACCGACGCTTTGATGCACTTGTTCAGCTTCTTCTGTTCTGCCAGATTGCCCTGCCGTTGAGCGTGATCTCGCTGATTCAGTGGACCGAGCGTACGTGTAGAGATCGATCCATGGTCGTTGCGGTTCCCGCCCAGCTGGTTGAAGTATTTCAGCTGCATGTTCCACTGCATTTTTGATGCATTCGGCGTGCGAGTCCAAGTTCAGCGCCTCTGCGAACGCGGCGGTGGTTTCGCAGAACTGGCGGCTATGCGCTTCAGCCAGATGCTTGTCATTGACCAGCATCTGTTTGCAATGGTTCTGACTTGGCCGAGTGTTGGGCGCGTTGTCCAAGTCCAGGTCAATGAGCATGCGCAGTCAGAAATGCCGCGAGGCCAACGAACTTGACCGGTCTGCCCAGATATCTGCTATCCCGTTGATTGCGCTGCGGTCCGTGAGGCAATTGTCGATCTGAGCGAAACCCTCTCCCGTGGGACTGGTTTCGTCGACTTCTGGCCCACGGTGCCTTGCTGGCTCTTCCAGGGGTGCTCGAAGGAAAATATATTAGCGATGGCGCTTCCCATTGCTCTGCAAGTGTCCCAAGGAAGCTCCCTGTTGAAATCTATTGCTCTTCTTGGCCACGTGCTTCGAAATGCGCGGTCGCCTGCGATGTCCTCGTCGCCAGGCTCGCGATCGCAAGGTCGAGCATTAATGTCGCCGAGCACAACGCTACAGCCGCTACAAGCCTTTTTGTTCGGCGCCGGGCGTGCGTCTGCTAGCCGGTCGACAAAGTCGCGCCGGCCCTCGTGATCGTAGCCTCCATGAGGGGCGCGCGCAGGAATAATGTTCAGCATTCCGCCTCGAAACTTGAGTCTCAAGATGGCGAGCCTGTCCGGCATGAGCTTGTAATGGATGGCCGACTTGATAGCCCAGGGTGCAAGCGAGAAGCTGGCCCCATAATCAAATCGCCCATCCCGTTGTGCTTGTGATGCGCCAGACAAAACAAGCAGATAGTCATTGTCGTGAGTCTCCGCGCGCGCAGTGATCCCAGTCTCCTGCGCGCATGGCACGGCGACGGTGCGCTGACGCATGACGCGTTCCAGCTCTGCCAGCCTAGCCATATCCTGGCCCGAGCCTTCCACGTTCCAGCTGCCGAGCACTTGTTTGTAGAGCGGGCTGCGACGATTCGCCGGGGCGGATCTTGGAATGGAGGAGGGTGGCGACGTGGAGGTCTGGCGATGTAGATCTTCGTCTGCGCGGGCATGTCCGCGACGGCGCCGGCGCTCTCCGCGATGCGCTGGCGGCCTGACGGCGCCGGTCGAAAGGAAGGGTCGCTGCGTCGCCTGATGGGTCGAGGGCCCCCTGGGAGACAAAGAAGAAAATGATGCAAAAGAAGCCGGGAGAGGAGTGCAGCGATAAGAATAATACTATGGGGACACAATTAGTAGTTGGCGGCGCGGCCTGGTATCTTTGCCCAGGCACGACGCGGTCGAGATGCCCGCGTCAACTGCGCCATGCATATCGGCATCTGTTCCTCTGCCGACCGGGCCAGTCGCACAATGCGCGCGAAGATTTTCCTGGCGAAGGCGCCAGTGAGGAAAAGGAGAATGCTCGAGGAAGATGTAGACAACAAGTTGGCAAGCTTGGAACTGGCATTGCCCAGATGTTGCCCCCTGACATGTCCACGCAGTGGTTGGTGGTGTTCTAGGTGGAGCCGAGGCCGCGGAGGGGGGGCGGTAACTTTGCCCGCGCCCACTCCTTGGCGCGAATCGGAAGAAGGATTGCGTAGAAGTGGCAGGTCGGCATCTTTGTCCGCGCCCGAATCCACATCCAAATCGGCATATTTTCTCTCGAATTGAAAGACCTGTGATGTTGACGTGCGCTGTGAAATCAAAGCGTTCTGGCAGCGGGGCTCGTGCTAAAAGGCTCGTGTGTCCGCCGTATTTTCTATTTCCCAGCGCTTCCTTTCGATGTTCCTTTGGCTCCACCTTTCATCCCCATGGGCGCCGTCTCCAGTAAAGAGTCGCATTTCTCCAATCAGTCTTAAAGCTTGGGGTTCTATCGTAGGTCCGCCCATTCTGCCCAACCCTTTTCCCAAATACGTTCGTTGGCAGCACCGACAATATTTACTGTAAGCGCTGAGTGCCCGCCCGCTTCAACCGTATAAGGTGTATCATCGGAGACGTTGATGTTGCATGTGATATACATGTATTGCCTTAGTACGTATTTCAACCCAAGGCACAGATTGCGCGCGGCTCTCATGGCCGTTTCCCAGTCTTGTGTACACCATGATGTATGCGCACCCCGTTGAAGTTTCGCGCTGCGTAATTGCGCCACCGCCGTGTCCCTGCCGACCGTCGTCTGGAAATCGGCGAACAAGATGTCGTCGAAATCGCCTTTTCGAACCTATCTTTGTAGAATTTGGTCCACCTATGATGCCCAATTCGGTTCGGATATAAGCGGCAGCGGCATCATCATAATCAAATCCGTTCAAATTCCCAATCACCGCTGTGACCGCGCGCTTCCCGTAGTAGTGGTATTTACCAGGTGCGCTACGTGAAAAACCGGATGCTGCCGAACCTGCACGGTTGCCGTTGTAGTGGTGCTGATCTCCAGGATTGCGTGATGTCCCAGACACCGATCGCGGAGCAAGCCGTGCTATATGATCTGGCTGTTGTATGATCTTGCGGATGCGCTCGCTCATGCTGTTCTCCAAATTGGCAACGTGTATTCGGACATCCTCGATATCGTGCCCGAGTGTTGTACGTATTTCTTCGATTGGGGGCTCGAATGGGTTTTTAGCTGCTTGCAGGTAACGCCGGGAGACTCCATGAAGCTTAATCGCCGCAATATCTTGTTGGATGGGTCGTAGGTGTTCAGCAATAAGCGTGCCAATCGCGGACAAAATCAAAGGACCATTTGTATATTTTCGTTTGCCTTTGTCTTGCCCATCCCTGCCAGCCGGCCACGATGTCTTGCTCGAACTGCTGCTGACGAACGTGTGGGGGATCGTCGCTAGCAAGTCCTGCTTCCCATGGTGGTTGAGGTGATCCTGCTGCTTAAGGCAGTTCAGCGTCCAACCCGCCCATCTCATTCAGCGGGCTGGTGACACGAGCAGCTTTTGCGGCAGGTGTAACCAGTGACCTGGAAGAGAACGGCGAGGCGATATTGTACTTCTCCACTTTGAATAGCTGCTTGGCCGGGGTACCAGAAGAAGGCATGAGTGTAGAGTCGCAGTGTAGGAATGGAGTCAAAGTGCAACAGGATGTCACAGTGAAACAGAATGTCACAGTGTCAGGGGATGACCTCTGAGATGGCTAGCTCCCTCCCCCTCGGTCTCCTCAGGTCTCGGGTTCGATCCCGGAGCGCGGGAGGGTGCAATTTCAAAGCGCGTGGGAACCCCTGATGCGCCCCAAAGGCCGAGGACGCAATAGAGCCTGTGGCAAAGGTGCTGGCAATAAAAACGGTACTAACTTTTCCTTTCCCTGAGCCCATACTCTCAAAGGCTCCCATGGAATGACTTCCAGCAAACATTGTTTCGTAACCAACGCCAGTCCCCCCTCCGTTGCTTGCCACCTCTCCCCTGTCCTGCCTCTCTTCTGCGGCTGTTGCTGCTGCGCTGCCTGCTCTCTTCTTCTCCTGGCTCCCTCCGTGTGTGTGTGTGTGTGCGTGTGTGTGTGTGTGCGTGTATGTGTGTATGTGTGTGTGCGTGCGTGCGTGCGTGCGTGCGTGCGTGCGTGCGTGCGTGCGTGCGTGCATGTGTGTGTGTGTGTGTGTGCGCGTGTGCGTGCGTGAGTGCGTGTGTGTGTGTGTGTGTGTGTGCGTGTGTGTGTGTGTGTGTGTGTGTTTGTGTATGTGTGGTGGGTGGAAGGTCCCGCTCCTCTCGCCCGTGGTTCTCCCCTCCTTCGTTGTCCTTCGGCTCTGTCGTTGCCCGGGAGTGGCTGGGGAGTTCGTTTACTACCTGTCTGGAACCAATGCTACAATCTGTCGGCTGCCGCGCTGGCGAAGTCCAGCACCTGTATTTCGTGAGTCCTGGCTGGCCTGATCCCCCCCCTTTTTCCTCTGTGGCCGCCGCCCCTGGCTGCCGCTGTGCCCCTCTTTCTTCTCCGCTGCTCCCTCAGGTACCCGAGAGGGTACTTACTTGGTTTCTTTCAGTTTCGCAAGCACAGGCCTGTCGACACTGTGATGCAAGCAAGGACCCCTGTGCTGATTGCTGGGGGAGGGACTCCCCATGATTTTGACGACGGCACGGGCAGAACGCCCCCTGAAGGCCCTGCGGACACCACCCTTTCGAGTGACTCGAGACTTGGCCATGCACAGATAGCGAGTGAGCGAGCGAGCCTCCTCGTGACCCGCCCGTGACCCACCCGCGACCCACCCCGCAACCCACCCCGCGACCCTCCTCCTCCTTGTCCTGCTCCTGCTCATCTTCCTCCTCCTCGGTCTCTGCCCAAACCACCGCTCCCAAGTACAGCGCCCGCACCAGAGGCAGCGGCAGCGTCGGCTCGGCGGACAGCAGCGTGGACTGAATGTCAGCGTACGGCAACGCGCCCCCGCCGCCCTTCGCCTTTGAGGGGGAACGATAAGAGGGATACTGTCGACATGAAATCGGCGATAGCGGAACCGCACGTTCCTGGGCTGCGTGGGGGGCCCAGACCCCCGATCGGCGCTGAGTGGGTGACTGGGGGTCGATGCCTCTCCCTCTGGGCCAGCCCCGCCCTGCCGTTGCCCCTGAGCCTTGGGCTGCCGCTCCCACAGGCGCTGCAGCTGGCCCGTGCGCTCCTGGAAGTCGGCCTGGAGGCCGGCCGTGGCCGCGTGCATCAGCAGCGCCTCGGAGACCGCCGCGTCTGGCAGCCGCGCCGCCGCGCCACCTCCGAACAGCTCGTGGAGCATATCCGTGGACAGCTGCGCGGGCACGCCCGGAAGGCCCGACTGCACGCACAGGGTCGGGCGCCAGACAGAGGCGTCCACGCCAAGCACCTCGGCGTCGACCAGGGCGTCCTGGAAGGAGTCCGCGGGGCTGCTCCTGGGGTTCGCCACGAGCTCCTTCAGCTTTGGGGCCCTGTCCTGCGACAGCTTCCGCGTCAGCACGAGGACCAGCGCGAGGAGCTGCGGCGGTAGCTTGGCCGCGGCCTGGTCGGACCTCCCGTCGCGGCTGGTGACCTCGAAGCCGCCCGCCAGCGCCACGAATGCGGCGCGCCCGGCCACCTCCGAGGCAGAAGGCAACGCCCTCATGACCGCCTCGTACGCGAGCGCCAGGGGCACCACCGCATGGCTCTGCGACTGAGGCTGCCCCACGCTACGCCGGGTCGATAAGCGGGAGCCGCGCCTGCTGCTAGGCCTCGAGCTCGCTGACGAGTTTCTCCGCGCGGTCAGCGGCATCGTCTGCGCGGGCTCTGCAGCGGCGAGCGAATTCTCTGCGGGGACCGCGGGCTTACGGCTGTCCGAGACCGGGAGCGAACTCCGGACGTGCCGCCTGGCGGCCAGCGCGGCGCTGAGAGCTGGCAGCGGCAGCGCGCTGTCGTACTCGCAATACTCCAGGAACCGGGCGAACATGGTCACCGCCAGGGACGGCGGCGTCAGGCCCTGCTGCAGGCTGAAGATCACGCTCAGTACCGATGCGAGCCGCCGCTCGGCCTTCTTCACGCATCCCAGCTCGCCGAGGTACAGCTCGAGGATAAACGCCAGGAGCTCCGAGCGGCGCAGGCCGGCCTGATCGCACTCCGCGTCCGCGGCCGTCTTGGCGGCGTATATGCGGTCGATCTCTTGGTCGAGCTCCTCCTCGATCATGGGGTCCAGCGTCTCGCCGCCCGCCAGTCGCCGCCGCCGTGGCCGTCGTCGCCGTCGTCGCCTTCGCCGTTGCACTCCTCGCCGCTGCCGGGGGCTGCCAAAGGCCTTCGATTTCCACCGAGGTCCGCTAGTGGCGCCGTTGTCGGCGACTTCGTCGTCGTCGGCGGCGTCGTCGTCGTCGGAGGCGTCGTCGTCGTCATCGTCGTCGGAGTCGGCGTCGGCGGCATCGTATTCGTCGTCGTCGCCGTCTTTGTCGTCGTCGTCGTCGGCGGCGGCGTCGGCGTTGGCGTCGGCGTCGACGTCGGCGTCTGCGTCGGCATCGGCGTCGGCGCTGTTGTCGGCGTCAGTGTCGTCGGTGTCGGTGTCGTCGGCGCCTCGCCCCGAGACTCCACACGGCCGAGGAGCTGCCGCACGGCGTGCGGGCGCAGCAGGACTGGCGCCGCTGGGTCCGCGGCGTCGCTCAGCATCTGCTCGCTGACCTGGGCCTCCTGGTCGCGCACCTCTGGAGTCACAGTGGACACACGCAGTGAGAAATCTTGCCATCTTGGGGCGCATCCTTCGTCGATCTTTGAGGGTCCTGAGGTGCGTGAAAGGCTGACCAAAAAACCGACGCCCTCCAAAGAATCCGCCGGCAACGCCAGTAACGAAGAACGAAGGACGATGATGAAGGCTCACCCGTCTTTACAGTCCTGCAGTCAGTGCGTAGTGGCAAACAAACAAGCCAATCCCTGCGAGCCGACATGGGCAACGGACCCAACATAGGAGAGGCGTGGGGGTTCATTCACACCCCACGCATGCCGAAACCGGACCCGCGAGACGCCAGAAGCGAAACGCAAGGGAACGGGTTCGGGAGCGAAGGAAACGGACCCCTAACCTAATCAAGCTGTGCGCCGCGCTGTATATCCCCAGTCGACAATTGAGGTACGAGAGGACTGCCAGTCCCGGCACTTCCCTGTCCACCTGTAGCGCAGACCCCCAAAAACGTTTTCTAGCGCCACCCGGGAAGGGCGAAAGGCAGGGTGGAGCAAGAGAACTGAATGCATAAAGGGTCACTCGCGGCGCTCGGGAGACCCAGAGTCGGACAGATGAAGGACCACTGCAAAAAGAGCGGGCACCGCGGCAACCAGACCATGACGCGCCAGCCTTCGGGACACCTCGTCAGGGCGCGCGAACTCCAAAAACATTTTTACTGCACGAGCCGTCCCAATTCGTCCATACTCCTGCTGCTGCAGTCAAGGTAAAGCACCCGCGAAGTCTTAATTGATTGATGAGCCCGGCGCGACCCCAACAAGGTGAACGCTTCCTGAGCAGCGTTGCTTAAAATTGCTTGGGATTGCGTTGCGTTGCATTGTACTGCTTCGTAATACTTTGCATTGCTTGGTATTGCTTGGCATTGCTTGACAATGCTTGGCATTGGTTGCCATTGCTTGGCATCGCTTTGCATTGCGCGGGGTGGCTTGGCATTGCTTTGCATCGCTTGGCATTGCTTGGCGCTGCGTGGCATTAGTCAGCGTTGCTTGGCATTGCTTGGCGCTGCTTGGCGTTGCTTTGCACGGCTTGGCACTGCTTGGTGTTGCTCGGCATTGCTTGGCATTACTTGTCATTGCTTGGCGTTGCTTGGCGTTGCTTGGCATTGCTTGGCGTTGCTTGGTGTTGCTTGGCATTGCTTAGCGTTGCTTTCACATGGTTGGCGCTGCTTGGCGTTGCTTGACGTTGCCTGTCGTTGCCTGGCACTGCTGTGGAACACGACCAAAAACCAGGGCGGGTAATCCGAGGAACCCAGGGAACCCGAGGAACCTCCAGGGAACAGGCACAATAATAATACGGGGCACTGGGGGCGGGGAACCCCAGGAACCCAGGGAACCCGAGGTACCTCCGGGGAGCGGGCAACGTAAGAATACAAGGCACCAGCCTTTTACCAAATAAGAGCTCTGTAGGCAAACCTAATTGGGGAAATCGAAGGCACCGGGGGCGGGGAACCCGAGGAACCCGGGGAATCTGCGAACAACGGGCAATCTAAGAGTCGGAGGCACCGAGGGCGAGGAACCCAGGGAACTCGAGGAACCCGGGGAACCTCCGAGCAACGGGCAACGTAAGAGTCCGAAGCATCACTCCTTAACCAAGTCAGAACCCCTTAGGCAAGCCTAATCGGGGAAACATGTAACAACACAAATGGGTAGGCGGTCTCGGCACTCGGCGATGCGGCAGCGGCACGAGTAACCGGCCTGCGTTGCCCCATCCATTGAAACTATTTCTTCTGGGGGTGCGAGGGAAGCGCGCCACGTGCACGTCGCTAGATGTAGCAAAGTATCGTAATCAAGAATGTTCTCTCTCATTCACCAACAAACTTACCATCAAAGCTATCAGCCAAACCACCTTGCAATTAATCCACCTCGTGTAGAGCAATCCCAGTCTCGTCGTTAGCTCTCTATGCTGGTCTGTAAATACGATTGAACCATAAGTGCTAGCACAGCATGTGCATTTATGCGCTCGTGAAATGTTAAACGAAATGCAATGATGAGATGACCCAATCGCCACGATGTGGATATTGTTATCGTCGTAAAACCATATCATCAAAAATGTACGGCCGTACCACATATCGACCTGTGACACTGGGGAGGTGAAAAGTCAAGTGCGTGCAGCAGGCGATCTCAAATCAATTCGAGGTGCCGGCCAGTGACATCTGGGGAGGTATAGGTCAGGAGCGCTACCTCCCTCGGGGTTGAAAGTCGACTGCCGGGATTCCCCCCGACAACCGATTTGGAAGACGCCGTGGTAACCATCGGCGCAGCGTCACGGGTAAACGCCTTTTGTCGACGACAAGGGCAACTAACCATTGCCAACGCCAATGCTCGTCCTGTCTTCGGATCTGGGCGGATGCCAATCATGCCCTGACTCGCGGCGAAAGAGGTGCCGCGCGCGGCGCCCTTGGCCCGCGCAGTCACATGACCGCTCTCCTCGCGATGAGCCGATGGTTCAGCGCCCGGATTCGCGTGCAGGAAGCTTCTCGCCGCGACAACGTCAATGTCTAGGCAGCGCGCGACGGTGGCAACTGTCCACGGGGCCTTGCCCATGTTGATGCGGGTCTCGGTCGTGTCGGCGCAGGCCCTCTCGTCGCGCCTCCATCGCTTCATCAGGTCGGGCCACGGCCAGAGCTTGATCCCTGTTTCGGAACACCACTGCCAGGTCAAACTGTCAAACTTACCTGGCGGGTAACCGTTGGGGCCGATATCGTCGATGAGGTTGGCATAGTACTGACTAAATTCGCTTGCGTAATTCGGTGACGCTCTCCTCTGAACGCCATCTGGGGCCCGATGTGGCCGCGAAGAGCTAATTTGGACTCAGCGCCCACAGTTGCGTGGTCTCAGGGCGGGCGGTCTCGCGGATCCACGCCGCCTGGAAACAACGGCGATGTTCTCCCGGGCCAAAGGCGTTCCCCTGACAGACAGACAGACGTCCCAAATTTGTCTATCGCAGCGATTCGGTGGAAAATGTTTGGAACAACTATCGCACCTGTAAATTATGGTATGACTGGCACTCATAGCACGCGCGGCCGTCCGGATCAACCGCTACGGCATTAACGATGACGCGAGCAAGATTCTGGCCATTAAGGGCGTGGCCCTCATTTACTTGCTATGCGTTCGCGATCTCAACGTCAGCGGCTCGCATGAATTCAGGAAAGTCAGAATCGACCGGATCGGAAGCCAACTCCATCGAACTCTTAAACCCCTGGCTGGCAGCTGGATCGATGTCCTGCCCCGATCCCTGCTGAGCGAGTTTTTCTGCAGTCCTGGTTTGGCATTCGAACAGCGGGCCCATCTGCGGGATCGCATACTCAGACCCCGATGAGTCCTCCGCGCGGGGAAAAGGCGCAAGTACATGCTTGAATTGTTCTGGGGGGTAGAGGGAAGTCAAACAGATAAATGGCCTGCAATGCCGTGGGCGAAGCGGGGCCGCAGGATCACGTGGATGCCCCTTTCTCTTAACGCGGCTTTTCCTAGCGCGTAGCTCGGAAGACATAATCCCTTAGTCATCGCCTCTGTCCATATGTTGCACAAGCTGCGCTCTGGCGGCTCGTGCATGAATTGCCAGCGCACTATGGTCAACCCTGTCCAACCCGCATGATCGAGTTGTATATGTATATATATATAGAGAAACACAACACAAGCCCCTGGATCGCGAGAACCCGCTGCGCCTCTGACAAAATCCGAACAAGGCGAAGCCGACGGTCTAGCAATCTCTCGATCGGGATAGCAGGGCGCCATGCAGACTGCACCGCACCCTACAGCGGCGGACGCGTCTTATAATGGGATTGTGTGCCCTGTTTCGGGGCGTCCGGACTTGCAGAGGCAAGCGGTCTGCCTCATCCTCCGCTCCGTCGCCCATCTCCCCACCAACGTTTTCTTAAACCGAGCTCTGCCATGCAGGAGGCTGCTTGCCGATGCAATCTCGGAGCAGCGGCCATGCGCATCCTGCTGGGGCTTGCTTGGATGGGGGGCGACTTGCCCACCTCAGGCGCCTGAACACTGTCGGAGTCAAGTCTTCCTTAAACGACGAACTGGTGAGCGACTTGGTCCGAGTCTTCTGCGCCGCGGCCCCGGGGCCCTCGCGCAGCGCCTCGCCAAGGGCCTTCGCCGCCGCGGCGACAGAGGCCCGCAAGCGGGCCGACTCGGGGAAACCAGCGACGCGGGGGATGCGCGCGCGGGCGAATGTCAGCCCAATCTCGCCCCGCATGTCGCAAGTAGTTTACCGATCCGCGGTGCGCTGCGCTCCTTGCTGGATGATCCCACGCATGAGGCCGGGTCGGTGCAGAGGCGGGCGAAGGATGGCGCGGCGCTCTCAGTCTCGCGGGCGCAGTTGAAGGCGAGGCCGACGTCCTCGCAACGCATCCTGCGCCCGCCGTCCAATTCGTTAGATAAGCGAACGGGTTCGTTCGCGGCGAGGGTAGCAAGTCGTGGATTGGCGCCCGCATGCTCGAGAGGATTCTTGTAGACACATGCGGCGTCTTTGTCACCTGAACCGTTGCCGTCGGAGATGCCACGCGCGAGCATCGGGTGCCTGGCCGCGTCGGAGATCAGCAATCCTATTTGGGCCACGCCACGGCATTTTGCAAGCCTGCCGCGCCGATCGACCCGCGTCGGCAATGACGGTGGCGACTGCCGACTGGGGGGGCACACCGCTGGTTGGAATGCGATCGATTACGAATGCTCTTGTCCGTCGGAGGTGCTTCTCGGGATGTGACGCAGTCGTGCAAGCGCTTGGCCAGTCCAGGGAAGCATCGCGCAATGAGGTGGCCAACGCCGCCGGACGCATCGCTGAAGCGCGCCATGCCGCGCGAACCCCGCGAGATCTTCGTCTGGTCTCGCGGCGCCCCTGAGCTGCGCGAAAGGTGTGGGGTGGAAACCGTCTGCGGCAGTGGAAGATGGAATCGGTCATAGGTTTCGGCGTCAGCTTCTATGCCGCGGCGCGCGCTCCACAGGTTGGTCAGTGCACTTCCGAG